CCAGCAGAAAGCCACACACCAAACCCAGATTGGGGTCGGAATCAAGCAGTTTTTGGTTTGGCTGGAGAAGTCAAGTGCGGTCACAGCCTTGCTGGACGTCCGCTGAGCCAATCATAGATTTTTCTTGAGTTTCCCCCGTCTCTAACTGGCTTTCTATTTTTGAGCGACCAGGCGATATGATCGACACTGTCAGTAGGGTTGTGTGTTTATGATACTGCCTTTCATTGTCCCGCTCGCTACTCTACACATTCAAACCTGCGTTCAATCATGAGGAAGGTGACTTCTGGTTGCAACCAGACTTCAGATACACGTTTCTGTTTTTTCGTTACACAGAAAGGATTTTCTATCAACAAAACCTCTCTTATACCATAATTTTATCTGTTTCTACAACCTAGATCTATTGCTCAATCAAAGCCAGTGCTCATAATGTTGATGTACAGCTGTTACGAATGACATCAGTTTCTGCGCGCCAGTGCTTTTGTCCAGTTTGTCCTTTATGCGTTGATGAACTCCACCTATTTTTTTCGTTGTACTGATCATGAGGATAGGTAAAAAGGTTCTTTCGACTTCTTAAACTCAAATATGTTCAGAAAAATTGGGGTATTATGCAAATGCCGTTGTTTTCTATTATCCTAATTTCCACCATTGACAGCAATTAGGTTATGAGAGGTTGTTTAAATACAACGTCTTTTTGAGGTGGATAATTGCCACTTGGTGTTTTTGGGTCCAGACTATTATTTTACGAGGAGATAATTTGCGTCTTGATTGTTTTTGCTGCTCTTGATCTGGGCACGAGAACAGCAATTTTTCTTCATCAATAACTACCTGAGTTATTTATTATTGGGCACGTGACCAAACCAGATAAGGACAACGCTGCTACGGAAGTGGTTTCCATGGGCCTAATTAAAAACTAAAAATTAATTTTGTATATCTCAGAAGTTATAGTCAAGTGAAGATCGATGTCTTTTCCATGGTCAGGCGCGGCAGACGACCCCCGTTTGATGACTTTGATTTCGCCACAGACGGCTTTCTGAAAAACTACCCCTACTCCTAAATGTTCTTTCTACTTCGAGAGCGACCTCCGCATTGATATTCTTCCCTCTCAGGGCTCGCCCAAGAAGTTTCAGAGCACTGGGGCTCACAACTCCTCCGGCAAAAAACAATGGCTACGCTACTTCATCGAGAACGGGCTAGACTACGGCTACATGCACGCATGGGCAAAGGCGGCAGCTGTAGCGCCAGATATTATCTTCAACCTGGGTACTACGCGCGGAGATGATGGTGGTTCTGTGGAAAACTTCGCAGCGCCCATTCTGAAACCCTGAGGGGTTCGACAAGGATTGCGAATTGATTCCGGCGTTCAAAGCTGACAGGCTTTCAATTGTCGAGCCACAAGTCTTTGTCACGATGGGTCCGAAGACGCTGCATGCGTCGGGGGATGGAATGTACGTTCCAACCTTGTCATCCTTCGTTTGCTGATTGTCTGACGACAATAATTGAACCAATTTCACACTCTTGAGTTGCCAACGAGGAAATGGAATACGTATGGACGCAGATTGACAGGTATCTATGACCTGTGTCAACACCCGAGAGGGACCAACTTCGAGGACTTGCGAAAGGAACTACTGATGCCAAGAGCTGATGATACATGGGTTGGATGTGTTGTTTGTGGCAAAGGATGATAGAAGGTGTAGGCCGTGAAGGGCTGGGCGAAGACAGGTCGCAACAGTAGACAGTGAGGATCAGAGAGTGAGCGGCAGAAGTGCCATTACTGGGGGTCACCTATTTGCGGATATGGGGTACAAGGGTGGTTACCTATTCTGAATGGGCTTGGGAGGGCATTAACAGGAAAAGGGTTGAATGGAGAAAGACTGAGTTCAGAGAGGACTCTGGACTGAGGACTCTACAGGAGACGGCGCAAGCGCAGCGCATGTGGATTGGTAGGCTGGCGGATACCGAAGCGGGGTCACCTTGGGCCAAGCAGTGTACGGTAAGTCCCCTCAACACCGCTAGTTCGCGCAGGAGCTGAGAGGATTATTGTGACAATGACACTGTAGCCTTCAAATGGGCATAAGTAATTTTGAGCGACCGAAGAGGGGTCCAAATAGTGTTGAACACGGTTGTGCGCTTCTACATTGGCATTAATGACCTTCTTGAACTTATCCTCAAGGTCCAACGCCAACAGTTTACAAATCCCGTCGACGAAGCAGCTGCACTATTCTTTCTACTTACATCACCAGAAAGGTGGGAGAGTGCGTCCCCAGCTTGGGGCCGTTTGATTCACAACATCGCCTCCCTGGACAGCGTCATTGGAGACCTGGACAGCGTCATTGGAGATATTCTCTTTGAGCTTCTCTGCCTCTTCCCATATTGCAGCACAGATCACTGGTTTCCGAGCTGGGACCAGGTTGGCGAATTCTTAGATATTAGAATTCGTGAGGATCAACACCCTGATAAGTTGGACCCACCAGTGGACAACTCGCCGCATTTATGCAAGGGATTTATCTATCAAGGTTACCAGCTCAAAAAGGAGGAAAAACGGGGTTTGGAGCACTATCTTTGGAGAGAAGAGGAACGAATTGGGAAAGCTCTGACTAACGCCGGGGCCCATGCCCTATTGGGCTTACTTTGGGAATTATACAATCTATACACTTTGGAGTAGGAAGCTCCTCGTGGTGTGTAGGGATGTAACCACATGGAGAGAAGCCTCGGGATGACAGCAAGCTGGAGGCGGAAATGGGGTGAAGAACGCGTACTTGAGGAGACTGACCTCGTTGTGCGTCAAATTCAACGCCAACATGCCGCCATGTGACGATCCGGAGTCGGGATTGGAAATGATTTGGAGAAGCGGGATGAAGGTTCAGGTGCACTTGCAATAATTGTTCATATTGATTGAAATGAATGTTCGATTTCAAACCTCTAAGTTCCTTCACAAATACCCCCCTGGTCACCGTGCGTACTTTGAAAAAGTAGCGATGTATCAGGTTTTCTTTGAATGGATACTGACATGCTATACTCATTTTTTTGGCGTCACAGGCTTGCGTTATGGCTTGACCTGTGCGGTCTGCTTCCACGTAATATGCATTCGTACTCGCAATGATAGCCGACGACTGTGCGAGACCGCACCGAGTGCTATTGTACATGCGAGTGGACGTCATTAGCAAAGTTGTCTTTCTGGCCTGACTTCACGGTTTACCGCAACCATAGCACAGTAACCTAACACCACTTTGAGCATTACATCATTGCGTGAGCTAGCTGTCAGAGCATTGCCTCTAAGGCATTCCGACTACGGCTGCGAAATTTGGTAAGTTTTTTTTCATTCGTTTCTTTTTGGCTATCATGCATATAGCTCCCGATTCTAAAACTCCAACTCGACTCGTGCTAACCGGGCTATTCTTCGCACTCAACCTTTGCCAAACCCGTCGTCGTAATCCCTGGGACTCTGCTTGCCACATACCACTGGATGGGGAGCTGGCGGGCATTGCTAAGCGTGCATTGCCATTCCCGCATGTATGTTTCACCCCATCCACTCATCTTTATATGTACCCCACACTCTCCCTCCCACACAGCCTGCCTACGTCAGTTGACGGTGGGGTGGGGAAAACTACTGAACCCCAGTTCCCCGGTCGGCTGAAATTCGGTTCATGATAATTCGCGATTGACCCCTGGCGTGTACGACCTATGGGATGTCTCGTGCTTGACGTATCCTGAGATATGCGCCATGTGATGTGAGCCTCCTAGACGAACAGAACGCAGAAACAAAATCACAGGCAAGGACAGAGGCCGAAAACCCCGCCCAGAGATAATGTTCTAGACACTCCGACGCAGCTGGTGCGACGTGTGCTTACAGTCACATTTATTAAGTTTGAAAAGACCTGCCTGATGTTGAGCTATGCGTAACAATATTCACATACATGCGCTTGCACCGTTCAGCAAGCGGTGTTCGACTGTCATGTGCCAGAGGCAGGCAATAAAACAGCACCACTTGTATGCAGATTCGAAGTATGTACTTTAGATAGCTATCAAGGTCCATTCAGAGGCAGGTACTCTGCGTCTCTCTTCTTCCGGCTTACAGTACAGGTGATGGGCATACAGTACGAGCGACGCAGGGTAATTCTGAAATAAATGAAACTGCACATGAGAATGCAAAGACCTGAGCTAATGAAGTTCACATACCCCCAGCAAATACCGGCATATAAGAATAAATTAATTGAAGGTGAATTTTTGAGGTACTTTTCACTTGTTGCCGCCTGCAGGAATTCACATACATATAGTACCCTCTTCGCACAATGCACCCCGGTGCCTACTCTACCGTTCATTGTTTCTCTGATGATTTTTTTTCTTTTTAATATTGGCTTTTTTTTTCTCTTCTTTCCTTTTTATCATTTTTAGTGCCAACTTTTACCATTTTGCGCCAGCCCTGCATTGTGCGTCTAGCTGGCGTGAGCCTTGGCAGAAGGTGCTGGCACATTAGCCTCGCGCTGGCAACGGTACCTCTGGTTGGCTGGAACCTATGCCACTCGCAGAGGCATTGCAATTCGGGTACTCGTGATCCCTTCATGTCAGGGTTTTCCTATCGAGAACAGTCATAAATTCTTGTGTGCTGCAGAGAGCATATCAGTCTACATCAAAAGAAAAGGTTCGGATTGGTCCCACTAATACCCAAGGCAGAGCAGCCAATTCGTTCGCGTTCGCCACCTGCAAAAAGCATGCAGGGTGCAAGAATTATGACTGTTCTCAAGTATTATGAGGCTACCTGTCCACTTCTTAGGTTTCGTTTGCTTTCGCCTTGCTTTCGACTTGCTTGAGTCTTCGACTGTCATAAACATAACAACTGGCAACCAGACTAACAACACTGCAGGAAAAGTCCCACTCACTTTGCCATTGGTTATTGATAATCAAAAGCCGGCGCAATATGCGTTAGTGGTTCAGTTTGGGTCTTCTTCTCTGAGACATTGATTACTATATATGATAAACATCCATTAAGGCATTCAAATGAAGCCCGGTTGGCTCAGTCGGTAGAGCGTGTGACTCTTAATTACCTGATTCATTTGGGTATGAGGGAATCTCAAGGTCGCGAGTTCGAGCCTCGCATCGGGCTTTTTTTATATATTTTTGTGCGGTAAAAAAAAAAAATACCAGCCCGATTTTGATAGAGCGTACCGTATTATTTCAAATTTTAGAACCTCCCGCTAGATGGTTGAAATCTACTGAACTCGGTTTGGCATACAGCAGGAATTATGATGCTACACCTGAATGAAACATAATACGAGGTCAAAGCAGGGTGAGATATACATACTGAGAGTCCTCACGTACACCTCATCCGTCCAGTGCCAGCAAAATTTCAAAATAATACGGTAGTAGGTAGAAATGCACTTTAAGCCCGCTTTAAATTTAATGCCAAGGGTCTCGTGAACATGCTGACTTAAGAACCGGCTCGTCACTGGAACCTCAGAATATAGTTTTGGAACCCGACCCCGACTTGGAAAAGGGGAGCAAATTGACTGTGAAGGTCAGTGCACCTATGTTTTTATGAAAATCGGCTTGAAAAAGAGCAAAAGTCAAGAAAAGAGTCGACCCCGTGATACGCCATATTTCTGAGAAATCTGTTAAGGGAAGATAGTCAGAGCGAGAAGATAGCTTTATAGTAGCAGCCAGGAATTGGAGTTTTATGGAGGCCCCCCAAAAAAATAATAAAATAAATTAAAAGGTCACAGTAATAATATGCTGATTCAGAATCGTAAAGCAAATATATGCAAGGAACGACAGAGCAGTCTTTTATAATGTGGAGGCCAGAAATCGGCAGTAAGAGAAGCATTACCGTGATAGGGTAATATTCAGCGGTACCAGTTTAGCAACAAATAACAAGCAATGAATAAACGCAATATTTTAACTGAGGAGCCATTTCTGACAACTTTCATTTTCTTGGGTTGGTCCTTCGTACCATTGTAGGTTCCAAGTCAGAGGCATGAGAGAGGGGAGGAGGATGGAATGTTGTTTACATAAGCCCTCTCAATCGAGCTCGAACTTCCATCTTCTCCAATACTGGCTCTTCAATGATCACCCCATCATGTCCGTTCCTTTGAAATTAATAGGTTTTCCCGGCCCGCTCCTCATATTCGAGAAACTCTGACTATCTAAAAGGCCATCTCAAAAGCTCATCTGAGATGTGAATCACTCGGATTTGGACACACAGCTCCTCTGCCCGACCCTAGAAATCGTCATCAAATACCGCAACGTTGCAATTGCCCTGTGATTTTAGTCAGTATGAATCTTAATACGTATGTATTCAGTCGAATAACTCACATCCAGGCTCACCGATATGAGGTATTCATCAAATACTCTATCGAAATCCGTGAATGTCCTCATGCAGTAGCAACTCATTTTGTAACACGTTGATTTTCGACGCTTCATTCGTATCATCCATATCTGTCCATAGTCCGGTCGCGCAATTGTGGTACAAGGAATTGTAACAACCAAAAGGCTGGGAAAGGTTAGGGAATGGATGGAGAAGGTGAACCCATGGATGGGGAGCATAGTTGCAGCCCGATAGTTGTTGAAGGAGAGAAGGGAAGGGAAGAAGACCAACTTGGTAGTAATCTACCTAAAAGGGGAGGTAGAATCGGATGGTCAAATACCAGCGAAGGTAAGGTTTATCAGGGAGATGGTTGCACTAAGAACTGTACGAGTTGAATACAGTGGGTACAAAGGAAAGAGAGAAAGAGCCTGAGGACAGAATGGATGTGGATGGGGAAGGAGGAGGAGAGACAACTAGACGGACAGTCATCGTGCTTGGTTGTTCTAGCCGTTTCGCACCTGCTACACAGCCCCAGATTCCAAACAGCAGACCATCTGGAGTTCAGATGCGAACAAGTGGCGTACCCAGAGGGGTGGGAAAGATGTGAGGAGGTAGAGCAAGGAAATGGGTGGAGAGGCAGGAGAATGGCGAAGAGGTGGACATCCTCGAGCAGCTCTTCTACTCCCTAAAGGCGTGTAAGAATGTAGTCTTTTTAGAAGTCGTCGTCGTTCCATTCTTCCACAGGAACCCTCCTGAAATACATCTCCTTGCATGACCGTTTCCAAGCTTCCAAGCTACTGTACATGACCACCTCGGTGTAAGAGGGCATCTCACATCGGTGTAAGAGGGTATCTTACAAGGCGTAGGGGGAGGAGGGGTACATGTAGCTAGTCGAGTCTTTTCTTCACATGCTTGTCTCCGAGCATCGAGGGCTTCAGGAGCCCTGCCATAGCGAGTAGCGATAAGCGTGGTTACGTGATAAAATTAAAAAAAAAATAAAAAAAAATATCTGTCCGTAAGTCCACTCAATACAGAAGTTCTTCCTCTCTAGCAGGATCAATCTTATTCCACACTTCTGCAATGCATCTCGATCAGGAGATAGCTTGCAACCAATGCATCCAATCTTGAGTCTAATACTCTCGTGCTAGAGGCTGAGGCAGATCTACGTGGGTACATCAGTTGATTTCGAGCCTTAAGCAGCTCTCATGCAGGTATCCGGTACGATGGCCCCTTACGGGAACCTGGGCCCATCTTTACAGCCTGTGAAGCCTGTGACGGGGCACGATGGCGAGGATCTGGCAGAGGAGCACAGGGCTGCTTTGAAAGAACTGCAGTCCTCACGAGAAACTCGCTCTTGTTCAGATATAAAACACTTCCCTTCACCCAAATGGATCTCCTCAGCATGAATATGCAACGAAATTATTACGGTGTATCCACAGCTCGTTGTTGACAATGATACGGTCTAAGTATTCATTAGCACCAATCAAGACTCATACTAGTGAACGCCCTCTAGAAGTTCAGTACCTACTATTGCAATAGACAACGTACTTGGCAGAGTCTAGCTGGTTGTTTGTACTCGTAATCACTGGGTAAATCTAGGACGAAGGCAGCGTGGGAATGCTATGTTGATTTTGAAGGCTCCAGTTCTTGATGCCTGTGCAATTTTACCGCAACCCACAGTATAGATTTGTGATGCTGGACAGTCTGATGTTTGTGTGTAGGTAAGAGTGTGAGTCTATGTGAGATACCTATAGGCAGTCGTGTTCATGGTTTCTGCTGCCCAGAGTGTAGTTCGAGCTTTGACAGCTTGTGTCAGGGTCTACCCGGGAAGGGGATATCCACCCATATTGACATGTGAAGCTGCTAGTGACGATTCGGCCTGATCAAGCGATAGCTACAGTCTGGCAATGAAATATGGGTTGGGCACGGACCGGAGTTTTTCGGAAAAACAGTCAAGGCTGGAGTTATAAGGGAAAGATATGGCGGTGCCGGAGTTATGGATGGAGTTAGTGGCTGCCGTAGCAACTTTTTTTTTAATTTTTTTATTTTTATTATCACGTAACCCCGCTTATCGCTACTTGCTATGGCAGGATCTTGAAGACGGTGCAACAAGGGTTTGGTGGCTCAAGGGAAAAGAATTCGGAACACAGAACAACGGCACGGAAACAGAGACACTGTGATCACGGATCTGGTATTCACTGAGGTTATATATTTCAATAGCGCGCACCATCACGGGGGTTCCCTGGGGTACCTGCAGGGACATGGTAGAGGGCCTATCCGAGTCAGTCCACACTTCACAGCCAGCGAAGCCATCCGGGTCGATGCCAGATCGCTCAGGTTCCAAAACAAGCAGCCACTCCGGACGTCCAATATCTCAAAGGAGGTTTAGGATGGAAGGACCCCCTTGCACTGACGGTACTCGACACACTAGACGCTGAAGCTGGGAGGAGTGAATGGGAGAGAAAGATTGAAGAGGAGGTAGAGCAGGGATAGAAGGCAACCTACACCGATGGCAGCAGGATTGCGGGGAGAACGGGGGCGGGTCTGTGGAAGGACAGGGCGACTTCAATCTACCTAGGGACCAAGCCACGGTGAACGATGCAGAACTAATTGCCATGGCAAAAGCCTTGGAAGCGGAGGAGGAGGAGATTCCGCTGCTAACCGACTCCAGAGTTGCCATTCAGAAGCTAAAAGCCATTTCCGAAGGCCGCCCAATGCCCGATGGAGCAGGTCACCTCGTCAGGACAGCCTGGGAGGACAGGACTAGAAGGGGGGGTTTAGACGTGGCGGTGATGTAGGTCAAGGCTCATAAGGGCGTGACAGGCAATGAGAAGGCGGATAGGGCGACCAAGATTGGGGCCCTACTCCCGTACCAAACTGAATGGATCACGGAGGCTGGATTGCGCGCGGAGGCGAGAGCCCTACGAGCAGAGGAAAGGAACCGACTGGGCCTGAGTTACAGACCACTTCAACGACTGGGGAGACTGACGGCCACTCTAGGGGGGGTTGCTGGGGGAGAAGGGCCTTAGGGCCTGGAAGTTCAGGATCAACAAGGTAGAGAGCCCAGAGTGCCGATGGTGCAGAGAAAGAGAAGAGGCAGCGACACACATATGGGAGGAGTGCAGAGTATGGAGCCAGAAATGGCCCAGGGGGCAGGCGGCAGTGAGAGAACCCCCGGAGTCGAAGGAGGGGGAGAGAGACGTTTTAGCGGCGATGCTAGAATGGGCGGGAAGGGAGTAGTTTAAAGAGGGGCATGTTAATCTCACGTTTTATTTCTCCTTTATTTTTCTTTCCATTATCTCATATGTAACTAATCTCGCCCATAGCCCATAGGGCGGCATGCGAGTAAAGATATTAAAAAATAAATAAATAAATAAATAAAAAATACCTGTCAGTAGAGCTTATTCTGCAGCATGCCAGGCTATCGAGAGGGGTCTGCCATACCTGTCAGATTAGGCTCATGTTGCCACATCTCGCGCCGTCGTCGGTGGGTCACTCATTAGGCTGCTCATTAGGCTGCTCATTGGGCTGCCCATGGGGCCGCCTATGGGGCCGCTTAATAGGGTTGTTATTCACATGGGTCCGCTTGCAGACCCCAGTAGTATGATATGGGCCTGATGGACTATTGATCAGTACACATCAAGCTTGCCGGTTGACACTGCCGGAATTACTCCTCATTATCGAATTCAGCTGCCAGTAGATTGGTTGGTGGCTAGGTATAGTGCAACGTGCTGACGCGCTCAGAACGTGTTGTTTACAGGTATAGCAATTCCCACTCGTAATATGAGCAAGGAATGCCTCGA